GTGGGAGAGAGCAGGGGCGGTGGAAGAGAGAAGGGGTAGATACAGGAACTATTGAGCATCTGTCACCAGGCAGACTCAACACCATGGCACTTCCAGCTTGTTGTTCTGGGAATTAGCCGATTTGGCTTGCTGGACACCACCCTCTAGCTGGTGTCTCCCCGTGTTCTCCTTAACCACAGCATCCTCTTCAGGACACTGCCCTCTGGCAGTGCCCTCTCCAGTGTCTGAGCCCCTTTCTGAGGGTTGGGGTTTATTCTGCTTGCACTCCAGGGTCCTCCTTTCACCGGGGCACCCTGTTCTCCTCCCAGGGAACACCCAGTTCACTTGTACCCAGCTTGCCTCACTGCCAGTCTTCATCTAGCCCCTGCCTCAGGGGAAAACTGTAGGGTTTCCAGATGGTTTAACCAAAAATACCCCCACTCCCCCAACCGGGTAAAACAATTTTGTTGAGAAAAATAGGGGGAGACCGAAGTTGTTGAGGAAAAAGACTGAGTTAAGCAAAACAAAAAACCATCATGGCCCCTTTTAAAAATGCTTTTGAGGCTTTTTGTCCCTAAGGCTGCCATTTTGTCTTCCTGCTCCTGGCCAGGCAGCTCCTTTGCAGAACTAGGTAAGCACCCGGTATTTTTGCCTCCTGAGGGGAAGGGGAAGAGAGAAGAGTGGGGGCAGCCAGTCCCTCCTGCCCGTGGCACGGTCTACCTGGTAACCCTACCTCCTCCATGCCATTTGTAGTCTAGCCAGGGCCCTGCAGGTCCCCATGGTGCACTCCTTCTTCAGGTGCCCAGGCTCCCCACAGGCCCAAAATGTTCATGACCCCCCCATTGCCTTCACCGAAGATGCTCTCCCATTGTCCATATTATCTGGTTGGGGCCTCCCTGCTCCAACCCAGTAGGGGCACTCCTTCCTCACATGTCCCCTGTGCCCACAGGCAAAACAAATTCTAGGTCCAGGCCCTGGCTCCCAGCTCTTGGTGCCTGGTTTCCCATGGAGTCCAGGTGCCTACCCCTGCAGCAGCCAGACCAGTCCCTTTTGCTGCTCAGGAAGCTGGCCACCCACACCTTCCAAACAACATCCTTTTTTCCACCCACAGTTTTGCAGGTCTCCTCATGTGGCCTGTTGGCCAGAGTCTGTAAGATAGCTCCCTTGGTCACAGGGCAGCATGGCGCAATGGCCAGAGTGCCTAAAATAGCCCCCTCACATCAGGAGGGGACTGCACATACCATGTTCACTGCATGTCATGGGGCAGACTCACCACCAGGGCGCCTCCGGCTGGTTGCTCTGGAAATTAGCCAATTTGGCTTGCTGGACACCTCCCTCTAGCTGGTGTCTCCCCATATTCTCCTTGACCATGCCATCCTCTTCAGAACACTGCCCTCCGGCAGTGCCCACTCCAGTGTCTGAGCCCCCCTTTTGAGGGTGTGGGTTTATCTTGCTTGCACTGCAGGGTCCTCCCTTCCCCAGGGCACCCTATTCTCCCCCCAGGGTACGCCCAATTCCCCTGTACCCACCTTGCCTCAGTGACCCACTGCCAGTCTTCATCTTGCCCCTGCAGTCTGTAATAGCCACTCGTCACTGGCAAAGGGACGTGGACCTACTGCCCCTGCCTACCACGGCTGCCTCTCTACAGCCCATGTAGCCTCCAGCCTTGCTTTAGGTCCTGCAGCCTGGGAGCTCGCTTGGCCAGAGCCTCCCCAGCCCTGCCTTCCTTCCCCAGCACTACTCTACCTCCAGGAAGTCTCCTGCTTCCCTGGCAATCAGAGCCCTTCTGCTTTCTAGCCAGAGCAACAGTCACTCCTCCTCTTCCTCCAGGAGTCCCTCATTAGCAAGAACGGCCTCAGCTATGGTTTCTCTTGCAGCCCTTAATGGGCTAGTGTGGGGCAAACGCATTACTACTAGGCTTTGTCTCGACTGGCAAGTTTTTCTGCAAAAGCAAGTGCTTTTGCGGAAAAACTTGCCAGCTATCTACACTGGCCGCTTGATTTTGCGCAAAAGCACTGACGTTCTACTGTCTGAAATCAGTGCTTCTTACGCAAATGCTTTGACATTCCTGTTCGGGCAAAATCCCTTTTCTGGAAATGTGTTTGCGCAAGAGGGCCCGTGTACACAGCTAAAAACTGTTTTGTGCAAAAAAGCCCCGATGGCGAAAATGGCGATCGGGGCTTTCTTGCGCAAAACTGCGTCTAGATTGGCACGGACGCTTTTCTCCAAAAAGTGCTTTTGTGGAAAAGCGTCCGTGCCAATCTAGATGCTCTTTTCAGCATTTGCGGAAAATCATGCCAGTCTAGACACAGCCCTAAATTGCTTCCTCTTCCAACAGTCTGCTTTCAAGACCTCAAAAACTTTCCCACCAGTGTTCCCTGTAAGCTGTAGGCTTGTGTGGCTGCTTAGGAGAGATTCCTGTACTGCCCAGAGTGCTCATAAATAGGTTTATGTTTCTCCTGGTGGTGTTCATTTGTACATGCCTTGGTACACATAATATTTATTTTGCACATGGATGGACAAAATCTGCACATGGATGGAAAAGATTAGAGGAAACATTGTTCCTCGCTGATATCAGTCAGAGTTGCGGGTACTCAGTATCTCTGAAAATGAGGTCCAAGCTATCTCAATTTTAGGCATTCAAAAATGAGACTCCCAAAAGTTATGGGGGCATTTGAAAATATGGGTCTACTGAGTCCATTGCGCATCAATATGGCATGAATCTGTGGTAGAGCCTATATCAGAGCTCAAGGGAGTTAGATACTCCTTGTGTCATCCCAATTCACAAAGCAAGGCCACCTCTGATTAAAAAGATTAAATGATTAAAAAGAAACACTCTAGAAATATCTAATTTAATAAGGAGCAATCCATGTGGATTCATAAAAGAGATTATTGCTGATTAATATTGCATGAATTAAGTGCATTCTTCAGTTTTTAGACTAGAGCAAAAGATCTGACCTGATTTATCCTAGAACGTAAAGATAGATAAGAACTATTACCTCAACTTATGTTTACTAGTGCTTATCCAGCTTAGTTTTATATGTGCCAAGCAAAGATGCTTCTACTGTTTACTTCCCTCGGACAATTATTCCACAGAGGAATATATCTTACTGTTTGGAAAATTTTCTGGACCGCCTGATTTTTCCCTGCCTCTCCTTGTATCAGACTCCCAAGTTGCATCCCAAACAATTCCTTTCTCTTTGTTGCTTACACACCTTCAGCCTCTGTACATTGTAATCATATTCCTCTGGCCTGTTCCAGACTCTCAAAAGCTCAGGAAAGATTTAGTACCAAAAAGACTCATCCACAAAGGCAGGGTAGGGACTAGTTAAAAGCTGGCTTTGAGACAAGAGACGATGGCACAGAGGGTATGTCTAGACTACAGAGTTTTGTCAGAAAAACAGCTTTTTTTTCCAGCAAAACTTGAGTTACGTCCACACTGCAATTGCATTCTTTCGACAGAGGGCTTTTTGTGCAATTGGTAATCCTCATTGTATGAGGAAGAAGCCTTTTTGCAAAAGAGCTCTTTTGCAAAAAGGCGTGAGCTGATGGGGAAGAGGGAGTTTTTTCGGAAGAAAGAGGAAAAAGCACAGGTGCCCTGGTGGCCATTCTGTCCACATCAATCTCTGTTTACATGCGAGAGAGCATCCAGGCAGTGTGGATGCTTTCGAAAAAGTGCATTGCTTTTTCTATGTGCTTTTGCAGTGTGCAAAAGAAGATCTCTTCCAAACAAAAGCTTATTGTGCAAGAAGCCTGTAGTCTAGACGTAACCAGAGAAAAAACTGTTCAGGACAGAGAGTTGGAGCAAGAGTCAGTTTTAGCCAAACTTTTGTTCCTCTTATCTATAGAATGACCTTGAAAAGGGTAGGATTGAAATATGGTTGCCAGTGAGACAAAACAGGGCTAAGAGGGAGCTCATTTATGTCTATGAGAAGAGAGCAAGCAGAAGTTTGTTTATGGTGAATTGAGTTGACTGGTTCACATATTGTTTGTTGTTCCTCTCTCTCTAGTCAAATAAATAGCAACAAAGCATCAAAGACGTCTGTAGAAAGTATCTTCGATGCTTTTCTTAAAGCATTGTGAAAGATACGGAGGTATAGTCTTCTTTGGGGACAATCCCTGTTATGCATGGCAGTGTGGAGTGATTCTAGTTTAGGGAGCTGGAAATCAAAAGGTCTGGGTTCTATTCCCAGCTCTGAAAAGGTGGGTGCTTTGGGGGTTGGAGGAGAGCTGGGATTGAAATCCTGGCCCCCTGGAAACTTCTGTTGACATCACTGGAGCAGGATTTCACCCTGCTGGCTGGTTTGCCAAAATGGTGGGTTGAAATTCACTTAGGCTATGTCTACGCTGCAGGTTTCTTGGGGTCTGAGGGAAAAGAGGGCTTCTTGCTCAAGAGTTATCCTTCTCCCCACGAGGAATAAGCCCTCTTGCGCAAGAGCTCTTGTGCAAGAAGGCAGTGCGGACAGGTTAAAATGGCCGTCAGAGCTTTCTTGCGCAACAGAGTGTCCACACTTCCATGGATGCTCTTGCGCAAAAGCACATGGCAGCGTGGACGCACTTTTGCGCAAGACCTTTTGCACAAGAACTCTTGTCACAAAACAGTTCTTGTGCAAGAAGCCTGCAGTGTAGATGTAGCCCTGGGGTACGTCAACACAGCAGCGTTATTTTGGAATAACATTTGTTATTCCAAAATAACTATGTGAGCATCTACACAGTTAGGCCGTTATTTCGAAATGATTTCAGAATAATGGGTGGCTTATTTCAGTGTTTATAAACCTCATTCCAGGAGGAATAACACCTCTTCTGAAATAGCTATTTCAGAATAGCAGTAGTGTGGATGCTCCACTGCTGCTATTTCAAAATAGCTTCTCCTCCAGGCCGTTCAAAGTAATTACTCCCCAGTGCCTCTTGGAGCTCTAAATCGAGGTAGCATGTCCACATTAAGGGAGCCTGCCTTGCATTAATTTCCAGGCTTCCCTGTAGTAAAGACGTGCTATTTCGAAATAAGCTATTTCCAAGTATTTCTTCATGCCGACATAATTGTGCTATGTAGACGGGGCCTTACTCAGCAGATGGGTTTAACTTTAATTGAAGCAAAGCAAATGGGGATCAGTTACTTATAAATGGGAAGCTTCTCAGGATAATCTCATCAGTCACTTCCAGCACCAGACAATACAGCTCCACTTTCCCTTTGCTACCCAAACTTCTTTATAACTTTTTGTTATCTTTTCTTAGCCGTATATAGTAGTCACTCACTTCCATGCTAATGCTTCCCCCTTGTCAGTGCGGGGTTAGTGTTGGTTCAAACTGGGCTTTATTAGCCCGTTAGTTACTTTATCTTTTCTTTTTCTCACAAATACAGTGACTCTGCAATTTCTTAAACATGCCCAGTTCTGCTTATGCTGGTTAAATGTTATCAGAACAGATTCTTAACACTCACTCAGTCTTCTATCAGGCCTATTCACTCACAACACCAGGGAGTCGTAGGCCACATCTCCATTTGTCTGGCTAGAGATCGATCTTCTGGTGTTCAATTTAGCGGATCTGGTATAGACCCATTACATCGAATGCTGAGGGTGCCCCCGGTAGGTGCCAGTAAGGGAAGCCAACAGCAGTGTTTGCTCCCATTGGCCTCCCACTGTGAAGACAGCGCCAAGTTCAGCTTAGGGTATGTCGACTCCAGCTATGTTGTTTATGTTGCGTACCTTAAGCTGACCTTCCAGGTCTAGTATAGACCTGGCCTTAGATTCTTAGGCTGCCATTGGCTTTTGAGACCTTGAGCAAGTCATGTGGACTCAGTTTTTCCAAAAGGCTAATCCTTGTGGCCTGATCTTCCAGAGAGCTCAAGCTTGTTGAGTACATACTGTATACTGAGCTCTTGTGACAAGCTGGCCCCTTAGGACACATTCCATAGGAGAAAATATCAGTCAGGTTGGACCCTTAACTTGGTTTACTCATCTTGGGGATAGTAAAAAGCCTACACTACCTCTTAGGAGGGATTTGTGGTTTAAGTAGAATCTGTAATTTGGTTTGAGAGCCTTTGATTAAAGGCCAGTATGCTGTAAAACACCACATCATTATTATTCTGTTCTCACCGCTGATCAGTGCTGGAGTGATATAGATTCCAGAGCTACTCCACTGATATAGTGGCAGCAGTATAAATGCTGGTGCCGCTCCGGCAAACAGCTTGCAGTAACACTGACTAGGGCTACCCTGGCAATCATCTGGCAGAGACCCAGACTGGAGTGCTGCTCCATTGATCAGATGCTCGGCGCAGAGACTCTAGTGATGCTCTATTGGTCACTTGGCACTAGCCCAGGCTCCAGTGGTGTTTTACAGACAAAGCAATAATGGACACCCTTTCTTATCGGTGTGCCGCCTCGAAATTCCACTCAGACTAGGCCATGACTCAGTCAGGGCCTCGCTGATTTACACAGGTTCCAAAGTGTTTCCAGCTCAGTAGCGACTGGCTCACAGTGATGCCGGATTCAGAGTCAATCCCCTAGGCTCAAAAATCTGGTGTTCTCAGTAATGACCATGGGCCCCAGTTCCTCTCCCTCTGCATGGCTAGCAATAAACACATCCTTTTTTACTATTTTTTTTTTAAAAATGTACTTACAGCAGGAGTGGGGAAACTTTTTTTGGGTGGGGGGCTGCTGACCCCCACAAAAAACCTCAAAAATTAAAAACCAAACCCAACCTTCCCCCCCCCCCCAAACAAGCAAACCAAAAATCCCCTCACCGATGTGGCCCCTGATTGAGGAGAAAGATGCTACCCATAGTCCCCTAACACACCCGAGCCTAGGAGGGGGAAGGGCACGGGGACTGGAGCTCCAGTGTGGGCTCCCGAATGCTGGGCAGAGGAACCCTGAGCCTTGGGGGGCCAGATTCAGGCAAGCCAGGGGCTGGATGTGGCTCCCAGGCCTTCGGTTCCCCACCCGACTTACAGTAATGATCAGACAGCAATTCCGGATCGATCGGCATCTCACGTGCATAAAAACATCCTCGAGACTGCAAATGAATCACATTTGTGTTTGAAAGAAAGGGGTGGGGAAAGGCGTCAAATGGAAAACGCTACAATAATGGGGGTTCCCACAAAAAATACTGACGGAGGCAGACTGCAGAGAGAAACAGAGGGGAGACCTCAACTGAGTGCACAAGATACTGATGGTTCAGGCATGGATATGCGTGTTAGACTGTTTACTGAAGAGAGTCCCAGTCTCTCATAGCCCGTCCATCCTGAGCAATCTAGGCTCTATCTGTGTGTGTAAAAGATCCAGTGCTTGGCATCCTCTGATTCGTTGTTCAAGGTCTTTGTATTAGCCATAGAGGTAAATAAATTCTGGCAGAATGATTTAGCTGGCTGCGGAGAGAGGGTACGCAAGAGCAGGGAACACTGAGATTACCCTAACGTCTCCTTCCCTCTAAGAAGGACAATTAACGTGAGACCCCACAATGCTCCATGCCACCAGCATACAGGGAGGGAGTTCATTGCTCATGAATACAATGTGGGCTTAAATATTACTCTACAATGGAAGGGTCACATCAAGTACCAGCTTGGGAACTAGATTCAGAGTGAAGTAAAGTGAAGCAAAGTTTCTGCTGGCATTTAAATAAAAGCAGGAAAAAATGGATGGGCTGGAATACACATTGTTAAATGGGAACGTGCCATGTAGTTAAATCTGTGCCATCCTCTTTACAGATAAGATCTTCTCCTGGCTTGGAAGCAGAATGGATGACTCTAAATGAAGGGACAGCAGCACTGAAGTCTTGAGTAAACTACCGACTGGTTAGATGAACTTCACAGAAGTCTTGTGGGCCTTGTCTAGCTATATGTTTTAGAAATGTGCATCCGTCCATCTCTGAGTCTGTAGGTTCTAGAACTCCTCCTAAATGGTAAATGCTAGGACCACCAAATTCGGTAGGCAGTGTCCTCTCATCCTAATTAATACAAGGCCAGGGTTTGGTTGTGCCAAGAATATGGGAAGTGCCGGGAATGAGACTGTTTTCCATAACATGGAAGGGGAGGCGCATAAAAAGGAGGGATGTGATAGTGAGAGTGGACACTGGGGGCAGCAAGCCTGCAGGGGAGAGCTGTCTTGCAGAAAGACCATTGGGGGCAGCCGCACCCCCAAGAGAGTAGCCACCAGAGTAGCTCTGCCATCTTGCCTGCCCCAACCCCTTTTCCCCTGCCCTTGACTGCAGCACCATGGAGGGGGTGGGGAGAAGAGGCTGTCACAGCTGGAGGGGTTGGGGTTGGAGGAGACAGAAGGCAAACATTTGTGAATGGGTTTGCCGGTCCGTGGTATAAAAAAGGTTGGGAACCCACCGATTTAAGCCACTAGGGAGAATTTGTTCCAGGTCTGTTTGCGCCAGGTCACAAAGGGTGAATTTGTTATACAGGAGGGTTGACAGATTTGCCAGGCAAAGTGAGGCGGGACTGACTCTGTGCTCTTGTAAGGGGCAGGGCTCCCCCCGCCATCCTGCAGACCCCCTGCGATTTGAAGGGCTTGGCGCTCTGGCTTCCGTCACTCTTGCAGTAGCATCAACAGACAGGCTCCTCGGGCCCTTTTGCATCACTGGTCCCCAGGGCAACTGCCCCTCCCCCCATTGGCGGGTCTGCTGCTCCAGCCCCGCCAAGCAGCCTTCAGTTCAAACTGTAGCAACTCGTGTTTTGTTCTGGAAATCCCTGTTCCAGTTTCTGGTATGTTGCCATCAGAGCAGCGTGTGGTGTTTGACAGGAGCAGCAAAACCCATACTTGTATTTTCCTGAGCCATCCCCTCCACCATGCTATAAAAAACTCCATGGCCCAGCTGTGTTGTGACTACAGCTTTTCTGCATATAAAAGCCAGGGCTAGTGCTAGGGCGTAGCAAGTGGGGGAGTTGCCGGTGGCTCCAAGCCTCTGGTGGCACCACAACACTAAGTTGCTCAGACTTCGGCTTCAGGTGTAAGGAATCATCTTCAAGCTGTGATTTCCACCGAGAAATATTCACTCTGGCTTAAATCATTTATTTTCACAAAGTGAATGTGACACAGAAGCCAAACACTCAGCCTCTTAATGTCTTACATAATTAAGGGCCACTTTATTCCCCCTTTTTATTAATGACTTACCTTTAAAAATGTGATGCCGATAACAGAGTTGTGTAAAATGTATTATTCAGCTGGTTGCTAGTTGCAGCTAGTTGCTGCCTCACGGCTTTTGTCAGAGGGGCTGTGTTGAGTTTGGTTCCAAGACAATAACTTTTTTTTTTAAATAAGGGGGGATGAAAGGGTTTAGAGGGGTCTTTTAGACAATTTGAAGTTTTGAGTGTTTTTTTAAGAAAATTTAATTAAAGACAAAATAAAACACATGGCATTACATAATTAAGAAGATCAAAGTACAACAAAGACAAATTAATTACAGAGACCCTAATTCAGAGAAAGCATTTAAGCATCTGCTTAAGTCCATTAGCTTTAGGCAGTACTTAATCACATGCTTATAGTCAAGTCCCAATGAAGTCATGTCTTAGAATGTGTCTACACTACAAAGAAAAGTCGGAAAAAGATATACAAATTGCAAACCACAATTTACGTATCCTTTTCCACTTTTCTTTCGGCACATCCCTTTTTCCTCGTACAACGAGGTTTACAGGGATGGTGAAAGAATGCGTCCGCTTTTCCGAAATTGTTCCTTGGACGTGGCATAGCTTTTCTGGGATACCTCTGATATCCTGGAAGAGAGCTGCACTGGAGACATAGTCAAGGTTAAGCATATGCTTTCTTGAATATATGTGTGGACTTATGTATAAGGCTAGCTTCTGGAAAGCATGTATACACATGAGATAAATGGGATTTAAGCCCTTGTGTAAAATTAAGCGTGTGTGGAAGTGCTCTTCTGCATAATGGTGTTATGTTGCATACGTCAAAGACTTAGATGGTACTGTTAGCTTATGTCGACAGCCCTCTAGAAAGGCAGCCCACCTACAGAAATACTTCGCTAAAAGTGGCAATCTGAAGGCTTCTTGTGTAGTTGCTGAAATAGGGCCATTATACAAGATGAAAGGAAAAATACAAGAAATAGAACAAGTTAATTGCAGAAACGGCATGAAAACGAGATTCTTCAAGTCACATAAAAGTACAGGGAATGATTTTTTTTTAAACTGGTGGTTGTCCTGACTTCCATTTCTCTACGCATGCTTTTTGTTCACTATTACTGAAATCACGTGTGCGCGCGCGCACACACACACACACACACACACACACACACACACACACACACACACACAGAGTTTTCACATGAAAATTCCCTTCAGCTGGCCAGTGACTGATGCACCCACAGGATAGCACACAAAAGGGATGCCGGTATCGGCGTAGTGTACTCTCAAAAATAATAGAGACTTTTTCAAGATCAAAACCTCATTGCACCAGAAATCCCCTTTTATTTTTGGATTAAGGGAGCTTTGTATTCTGATGGACCCTATCACTGGACTAACTAAACTTCTTGTTGCATCTTGATATGCTGGGTAGGAAAACATTATTATTCCCATTTCCAGATTCAGGGAGTTGGCCAAGATCATACAAAGAAATTTTTGGGAGAGATAGAGATGGAACCTGGCTCTCCCAATTCCATATGCAGTGCTTGAATGACAATATCACCTTTTCTTCATGTAGAATCCAGAGTAAAAAACAAACCAAGGCACAGAAACTCCTGGCCTCTAACCTCTTTTGTTTGCTACATCGTCTTGCAGAGAAACTCAACTGCAATGGACCACTTTCTCTCTAGTGGTCCCATAGGTCCACAACAGGTACCTGAAACAGCTCTAGAGAGAAGCCTTTTTGTCTGATGTACCTGCTACATTAACAAGCAGTGATGTGCTTAAATTATGATCTCGCAATTAAAAACTGTATTAAGGTCTTCTACTTCTCCTGGAGTATGAAGACTTAGTAAATCAGATAGCTACATGGAGGGTTTCAGACAAGTTACAAATTATTCATAACCAATTATGTAGATTTCTTTTGAGCTGTAATAATAAAGAACCTCCCAGTGACATGTACAAAAAGTGGGTTGAATTTGTTACCCCCAGAGAAGAGGAAGCACTACTATTGTTTAAGTCTAATGTGTAAACATGTTAATGGATCCACTCGGAAGCATTTGAGGGGAGAGAAAAATGGTGCAACCTATTAACTGTCCATGTCCTTGTGATTGCAGAATAAATTGACTTTTATTGTATCTGCGCGTTAGAAATCTTAAGGGATGAAAAGCCTTTTGCTACATGGCTGCTTGATAATTGGAATCAACAACTCAAGGAATTAAGGAGCTGAGGTCAGTACATGCTTTTAAAATGATTTGCAGGTGATATATCACCCGTGACGCACTCGGTGGACTAATCTCTAATTGTATTTTCTTGTATGGTTCTGGAACGAATGGGTGATTTTACCTGACAGATTCTGACCCTCTCCAGGCCTTTTACACAAACGAACAAGTCCCTTGCAGCCCTATATTTCTATGTTTCTATTTGTCCAGCAAGGCTAATATCATGTCCCGGGCAGTGGCCACAATCAAACATTCAAGAAAGTACTGGAAAAGACACTCCTTTGGGCTCTTAACACTTTTCTAGGACACATTGAACTTTGGGGAGGGGGGGGCAATGTGGTCTAGGGGACTACTGGCCTGCGAGTCTAATGATCTATTCCCAACTCTTCGGCTTTGTGCCATTGAGCTAGCAATTTCTCCTCTCCAAACCTGCATTTGTCTTGTATACCTAGGCTGGAGCTCTTCAGAGTAGGGGTTGTGTCTCATTAAGAAGTTGTACAGCACTCAGCATAATGGGATGCCAATCTCTTCAAAGCCTCTAGCCACAACTGTAATGCAAATACAAAATAATTATTTTTTGTTACTGTTCAGGTGAGTTATGCTGTGAATGTGCCAAGAAGAAACAAACTCCTCAGGTGAAGGCATGAGCAGTTGTTTCCGCACAGTCTGCATTCAGAACAGCTTTTATGGCGCGGATAGCAAAAGCGCTGATTGAAGCATCAGATTGGGGAATGTGTCTCTGATTAAATACAAACCAGCCTGAATCTGACCTCAAACCAAAGGCCTGCCTCAGTTTCCCCATATGAAAAATATGACCTTCGTTTGCAAAGTGCTTTCAGATGGGTGAATGAAAAGAGCTATGTAGGATTAGTAGTAGTAGTATTACAGGTCTATATGGCAAAGACTTGGGTCATCCTATTCATAAGCCTCATGCAGATAAAGTAATGCTCCCTCTAGTATTTTCATCACATAATACTGTATATACTGAGAGAGAAATGGACTCAAAGTATCATGTTCTTGGTGTTGGATGGTTCTGGGGATAATTTTTGGGAAGAGTCATTTTGCATAGTCAGACCTTTCCAGCTGTGTCTGTTTCAAGTCCCTAATATTTTACTGTGAGCTCCATGTTTTCCACCTAAAACTAAAAACTTGCTTGCTGGATTCACAGGTTGAATTGGTTTAGTTCAGATACACAAAGAATTGTTTGCATCATGGGACTCTTCGCAAAGCTAGCACCTGCTACTTTTAGATAGCCTGGATATGGAAACGAGTGTGGTGAAAGCTACACAACAGCATGAACCAAGACAACCATGAGCAAAAGTAGGTGGAATAAAGGCATATCTCAATTGGGTATTTTTAAGAGGCTTGTTGTAGAGTGGCACAAACTTTTCCAAGCTCAGTTCAAAAAGGATTTGCAAAGATGTGAGGGACTTTCGTGCTTTGCACAGATTTGTAAGCTCATAAGTTCTCAGTCAATTGAACTAGCAGGGCTTGCGCACAATGAGATATTGGTATGAGCTAGGCAAGGTGTAAATCTGGTAGTTCATGCTGTTTCCATGAGTTTCTTGGAACTAAAATAAGGACTAGGCCTCAATTCTGATGCAACCATGGACCTCTGACCTGAGGGAGACCAGTTTCCCCTTCTCCTTTGGGTCCATAAGAGAGATGTGCAAGATGAAATGCACGAGCGTTGTGCGTGAGTCTAATGATGGCGAACTGCAGGAGTTTAGTGTTGAAAGTTTCATAAAGAATCCCCAAAGCCTAGGGCAGGGGTGGCCAACCTGTGGCTCCAGAGACACATACGGCTCTTCAGAAGTTAATATGTGGCTCCTTACATAGGTATCCAAATCCAGGGCTGCAGCTACAGGTGCCAACTTTCCACTGGACCGGAGGGTGCTCACTGTTCAACCCACTGCTCTGCCCTAAGTGCTGTCCCCCTCCACCTTTTCCCCATAGGATCCTGCCACGTCCTACTCTCCACTGAGCCGGTCACGCCCATGCTTCCCCCTCCAGTGTCTCCCACTGAAAAAGAGCTGATCACAGTGGGTAGGAGGAGAAGGAGGAGGCAGCGCTGACTGGTGGGGCTGCCAGTGGGCAGGATGTGCTGAGAGTGGTGGTGGGGAGATGATCAGGGCTGGTGACCTAGAACTGTTGCTCTTTGGCCATGTGCATTGGTAAATTCTGGCTCCTTCTCAGGTGTAGGTTGGCCACCCCTGGCCTAGGGCGTCACTTCCGAAGCACAAAGAGAACCCTGAATGTGGGGAAATGTCTCCTCTAGCCCTGAGATATAACTGTCAGGCAGAATACAGAATCCCAGCAACGTAATACTAGAGCAGCCACCCAACCTGTATTTTAAGGGACAACCTTTATTTGTTGCCTCATGCCCCACAACTCGTATCGACAAAAGAGGTGTGGCTTAACTGGCTAAAGGGGTTGATCAGGCCAAAGGTAATTTTTTCATGGAATTATCATGCAAAGGACAATACAGCTGGTCCCCGAGTTGTGAGCAGTCGACTTATGACCGTTCGCAGTTACGATCGAAGCTGTTGTAAATGGCGGACCCTGAGTTATGAACGCAATCCGTGCTTACGAACAGCGCGGTTTCGTTTAACTCTATGGGGTCCAACTTATGAACAAACTGAGTTACGACCAATTGCTTGGTCCGTAACCAGTTCGGAAGTCGGGAAGAGGCTGTACACTAAAACACACTTATGATTTTGTGCCAGGAATACAACCATGGTGGCAAGATGGCAAAGCTCTTTCCTGTATTTTTCATAGCCTCGTCCTTCATTTTCTTGAAGTCCTGCCCTAGACCATGCCCACAAGCTGGGGCACATGAGGCTGTCTCTCGGGAATACACAAAAACTAGCTCAGCTCTGATGCAACAACAGAACCCTGGAAATAAGACAAGAAAAAAGAATTTCCCCTTGTAAAACTGGGGCTGCAATTATGATGTGAGCCAATATCTCAAGCTAATAAGGAGACAGTCCTAACTAACGTTGGGAATTGCAGAAGGTATTAGTGTGCTCTACCTCTGCCAGCTGGAATTAGATAGACATAGAGGCTTGGAAGAAAAGAGTTTTGGCTCAGGTTCATTCCTATATTAAGATTGCACCATCAACATAATGAGGCCTTCAAATCCAGCGTACGTGGCCACAGGAGGAGTCACAGCGATGACTTTTGCGTGTTCCCCCCACCCTCCCAAGTTGCACTGGGCCCGTCTCATCTGCAACCAAGAATTTGGGATTTGTTTGGTTTTCCTGACTTGTCCAAGTAGACTGGAGCTATCCGTCTCTTTTCTTAAAAGCAAAATGAAAATGGCCTCTGCTGAATTGGCTGCAACCCAGCCTGGTCCCAGAAGTCGGTTTATTTCACACGTCCTTCGTCAGGCACAATGTCTTTCATGTGCCCTACTCCAACAGACATGGCATAGGGTCACAGGACACAGCATGTGATCCTTTGCTCATGACAGAGCATGAATCTTCTGTGGAGCAGGTTTTCCAAAGAGCTCAGCTCCCAGGCAGACACACAAAAACCTGCCAAAGATTCAGAGGTACGCAGCATCCCTGTGCACAGCTCTTTCAAATATCTGTCCCTTTACCTATTCGCTCATTCCTTAAAGGGACTTTTCTCCCTCTTCGTGACATGTCTGTTTGAAGGGGAGGCACATGTGATAAGCAGTGCAGTTTCTATCGTGAAAGCATGCCCTCTCTCGAATCATAGAATACTAGAGCTGGAAGGGAGCTTGAGAGGTCATCAAGTCCAGTGCCCCGCCCTCAGGGCAGGACCGAACACCGTATAGACCATCCCTGATAGATGTCTATCTAACCTACTCTTAAATATCTCCAGAGATGGAGATTCCACTACCTTCCTAGGCAATTTATTCCAGTGTTTAACCACCCTGGCAGTTAGGAAGGTTGTCCTAATATCCAGCCTAAACCTCCCTTGCTGCAATGTAAGCCCATTGCTTTTTGACCGGTCGTCAGAGGCCAAGGAGAACAATTTTTCTCCCTCTCCCTTGTGACATCCTAAAAGCACAAAAGACAAAGATCTGTAGCTGCTATCCAGTACAGATTGACTCCAGTCTTTAAAGCTGAAACACAACATCTGTCCCCCGTCATCCTGGAGACCCAATAAAATTCCCAGGGGCTTGCTGTTCAAAATGGAATTTGCACTCATGTGTGGGGGGTGCTAACAGTAGTGATCCCAATCAAATATTGCACTGAATAACACTACTATTTCCAGCACAGTAGCAGTGTACACTATTTCCAAGAGTTTTACCAGTCTCCTAACACAACTGCGGTGGGTGGGAGCAGAGTCTGTTACTGCTAAATATTATTAGATTAGGACCTCACCTGCAGTGGTTCCCCTGTTTGCATTGTGAATCTGGTGGTTTTTCCTACCAAGAATGAGTTTTGGTGCCAGTACCTTCCATCAGTTGTAATTATTGTGCCCTTTTACATGGAAAATGTGATCAACCTCAGCTTGTTTCAGCTGCAGCAGCCGTCTGCACCTGTGGCTGTGGAGGGATTGGCTCATGCTGGAAAGTCTGACTTTATCCGAATTTATCAGGCCTATGAAGTGCTTTTGAAAATAGCTCCCTTACTATTATTATTCAAACCATCATATCAGCCAGCATATTAATACCAATGTCAAATATCCCAGCTCCTGTGCAGCCTGATTCAAAGGAAGATGCTCCTACATTTAGTGTGTCACATTCCTATCTATTTATCTTTGGTGGCTTGAGAGTGAAACGTATCCAGTTGAATCTCTTAGCTTCCTGCTTTCTTTGAATCCTGTCTAATGGGATAGACACCTGTGTGCATGTACTCCTTGATGCGTTATCACTGTATCTGCATTGAGGGGGAGGGATTTTAATGAGCCTTATGAGTGTTGTGGTAATCAAGAGCTTCAGAAAGGTAGCTGAGTTAGTCTGTAACTGGAAAAACTTGAAAAACAATGAATAGTTTAGCAGCACCTTAAAGACTAACAAAACATGTAGATAGTAT